ATATTTTTCAAAAAATTACAAAACTAAACAGCCTACAGTATTTTTACAGTCTTTATTTTACAGTTAAAATATATGTTTATCAAATAAAGTCTAATGTTACAACTAATCGTGGACCCCTTTAATTGTTAGGACTTTACTGTCAGGGCAGAAGGTTCAGCCGAGCCAGAGGCTCTGCAGGACGAGTTAGATTTGCAACTGACAGGAAAGTTAACCAATCACTATGTTGATGTAAAGAGGGTGGGACCAAAAAAAAAAAAAGGTTCTCTGGGCCTTTTGGAAAGACTGCAGCAGTTCAGTAATATTGTTAGCTTTTCAGCACATCTTTCATGGTGGACATGAAAGATGTCCACCATGAAAATGGACATCTTTCATGGTGGACATCTTTAAGACAGAGATGGAATACAGGAGTCTTCCATCTCTGTCTTAAAACATGGCTAAAAATTGTATTTTTTGACCATTCTATCTCCAGGTCCTGCAGTTACTGGAACAGCTGCAACTACCCAGTCTGGCATCACCTTTTTTAAGGCAATCTTTTGCAGAGAATAAGGTTATATTCCAAACAGGAAGGCCAACTCCAGTGGTGGAATTGACAGAAAAAAATGTGGTGACAGAAAAAAAAAGTGGTGAAAGGTGAGTTTTTTTTTCTACTGGTCTTATTGATTTATTTTCATCCGGCTACCTAAAAACAAATAAGCTGTATTATTGGAGCTCTGTTTTATTTCACTACAGACAAATCATCACCCTCGGAAGTTGCTGGATTTGTTTATCAGCAGTTCATCTCTGCAAGCTAAAGTGAAGTAAAAAAAAATTGGGACAATGAAGTGGACCTTCAGCTGACACCACAACCAGATTCTGTCTCTTCATCGGGTCAGGAAAACAGAAACTGGACATCTTGTTAGTGTTGTGTTTCTGGGAACGCAGCATGACACAAAGAGGAAAAGACTCCAGGGAGAACTCCTGAGAGCTGCCTTGACATGGTGGGCTGGAGGATCTCTCTTCTGGCTAGAACAACCAAAGAGAGAGCCTCCTGGGTCGTCTCCTCGGTGCACAAGTTTGTCTTTATTTTGTTCTCCACAAGTTCTTTGACAATCTTTGTAAGATTTATTTAACTACCTACCAGTTTGGCTGAAACAGTTGAAAAGATGACACTATTTTAGCCTCGGCCAGCTGATTCAGCAGAGCAGCTGAAGTGAAGAGCATGTAGTTGACCTGCTTTTTTTGCATAAACACACACACACACACACACCAGACCAATCATACAGACCAATCATACAAGCAAGTTACCAGTAAATTCACCAATCTCATTTCACATCAGCTTTCTTCATTTTCTGCTTTTGGCTAGTCTCTCACAAGTTTCTCATCCACTCCAAACTTTCTTTCTGCTGCTAATTTTTTTAAAATGGTATGCTACAGGAACAACATAAACCATAGTTATCACAAGCCCAGAGCACCCTCTCATGGCTGCAGACTGTAAAGTAAATAATTGTTGGTTTATGTCAGTCAGTATGAACTAAATGCATCAGTCAAAAAGTAATGGAGAGGAAAAACATAGATAAGTCAATGGAGTAAAAGAAGCAGGGCCAACCAAACTATGAAAAAAAAGTGAAACTTGGACTTCCGGTCGGAACACCAACAAGATGGCAGCGTGAGCGAAAGGCTCCCGACAGAACCTGAGAATTTGTTAAAATACTCCCATATTATGCAAGAAATAAACAAGCTTACTGAGTTAACACATAAAGGGAATTACTTTTCTACCGAAATATTGACTAAGAAGCAAACTGCTGAAGCGCACAACTCAAACAAACCGGATAGCAGTTGAAGCTAACGKGTGACTACTATCAAGCTAAAGCGAGGAGAAATGGCTGATCTGGACGTGATATTGCAAGAAATAAAAGGTTTCTGCCAAGAAAATAAAGGACAGCTAGAGGCCATCAAAGAGGAGATCACCAAGATAAATGCCAGGATGGACKAAGCTGAAGATAGAATTGAAGGAGTGGAAGAGAAAATCCAAACCTTTGAGGAGGTAAWGATGGAGATGCTAAAGCTAAACCAGAGAATGGAAGAAGGGTTGACGGACCTGGAAAGCAGAACAAGACGTGAAAATGTTCGGATCTACGGCGTACCTGAGGAGGCAGAGAAGGAATCGCAGACAATGATTGTCTTTGTGGAGGGTCTGCTTCGCGACAGCCTGGGCCTAGCTGAGGGTGAACCAGACCTGTTAATCGAAAGAGCGCACCGCTCGGCGGGACCAAAACCACCAGAYGGCGCTCCGCCACGCTCCATAATTGTCAAGTTTCTAAGCTTTAAAACCAAAGAAATGATACTCCGTACCGCCAGGCGGGAGAAAGGTTTCACTTGGAAAAACCACAAGTTAAATCTCGACCACGACTATCCATACCTTATCATTAAAAAGCGAAGGGAATATGCGGATATTAGGAGAATTTTGAAAGAAAATCAGATCCAGTTCCAGACCCTCTTTCCTGCCAGACTGCAGGTGAAGTACAAAGATGGAGCGCAAGTCTATAACACAGTTGAGGAGGCATCCGAAAATCTGATCAGCAGAGGCTTCTCCATTAAGGTGGTTAAACCCCCAGAAACAATGATGGAACAAATTCAGCAGTTTGCATGGAAAAAAGTGGAATCAAGAGCGAAGAAGAACCGGACCCAGCCACATCTACAAAGAAAAGCTGCATGCCTTCAGACAAAACTCTCCAACACAATCAACACACTAATGAACTAGTGTGGGTGTGCCAGTGATGACCTACATGCTGAATACACATCTTTGTGTATGTAAAGTATCCTTACTTTCATTCTTTTTTTGTTCTACTGCCACACAGGTTTACTTAAGTGTTAATAACTGATGTACTCCATTAACCTAATTTATATTTAAACTAAATAAATATTAGTTGTTACACTATTATATGAGTACATATAAACACGTGAAATTAAACAAATGTGAGGAGGATGTGTACAGGTAAACTCGTGTTTGTACCTACAAATGTGTTAAAATGTACCTGTGAAGAGTAGAGAGAGCCGTATACACAAGAGTAATGTATAATCTAAAAGCATAACTAAACAACTACGCCCTCTTTGCTATTGAATCTTTGAATTCCTGATAAAACTATTCTAAATAAATACTGGGTTGTTATGTCTGAGTGTGTATGGATATGTACATGTGTAAATGTGTGTGTAAGTGTGGTTACAGAGTGTATGTGTATGAATGTGTACATACAGCAGGTAAAATAAGTATTGAACACGTCACCATTTTTCTCAGTAAATATATTACTAGAGGTGCTAATGACAGGAAATTTTCACCAGATGTCGGTAACAACCCAAGTGATCCATACATACAAAGAAATTACCTCCAAACGTCACTGTTGGTATGGTGTTTTTGGGCTGATGTGCAGTGCCATTTGACCTCCAAACATGATGTGTATTC